AAGCGAAGAGGGCGAGGAGGAGGAGGGGGAGGAGGAGGAGGATGACGAAGAAGAAGAGGGCGAGGAGGTGGACGAAGAAGAGGTGGAGGAGGAGGAGGGAGGTAGCGGCGATGGAGAAGAACGAGGAGGACGACGGCGAAGGAGGAGGAGGAGGAGGAGGAGGCCTCGACGATGGCAGAGGAGGAGGAGAAAGAAGAGGAGGAAAAGGAGGAAGAAGAGGAGGAGGAGGAAGAAGAGGAGGAGGAGGAGAAAGAAGAGGAGGAGGTGGAGGAGGAGAAGGAGGACGACGAAGAGGAGGAGGAGGAGGAGGAGGCCACGGTCAATGAGGAGGAAGCGGAGGACGAAGAACAGGAGGAGGAGGTGGAGGAGGAGAAGGCCACGATCTTTTTTTTTTTTTTTTTTTTTTTTTGGTCCGATCAATCGATCAATCAATCAATCAATCAATCAATCAATCAATCAATCAATGAATCGACTATCCCGTCGAATCGCTTGATTCGATAGGATCTTGTCAAGATCCTATCGAATCAGGCGATTCGACGGGATCGTCGATCGATTGATTGATTGATTGATTGATTGATTGATTGATTGATTGATTGACTGATTGATCGGCGATGACGGGGCGGAACGACGAGAGTGGAGCAGGGACTGACGGGACAACGAGGTGGAGGAGAAGGAGGAGGAGCAGGAGGACGACGAAGAGGCCACGGTCAATGAGGAAGAAGCGGAGGACGAAGAACAGGAGGAGGAGGTGGAGGAGGAGAAGGCCACCATCTTTTTTTTTTTTTTTTTTGGTCCGATCAATCAATCAATCAATCAATCAATCAATCAATCAATCGATCGACGATCCCGTCGAATCGCTTGATTCGATAGGATCTTGATATGTCAAGATCCTATCGAATCAAGCGATTCAACGGGATCGTCGATCGATCGATTGATTGATTGATTGATTGATTGATTGATTGATTGATTGATCGGCAATGACGGGGCGGAACGATGAGAGTGGAGCAGGGACTGGCGGGACAA